GAAAAGATCCATTTATTTTTAAAAATGTATTTCCTGGGCCCTTTGAGATAATATTATATAAATTACTTATCTTTTTAATGTATTATATATTAATATTTATTTCTTTGGGTGCCAATAATATATTCAGGGGTCAGAAAAACATAACTACATCTATGTTTTTGTGGAAATTTTTGATATCTTCAGCAGTCCACTGAAGTTTTATGCAAGCACTTCTTATGTAATACAAAGGTTATTTCTACTTACTTTCACCCATTTGCTTCTAATTTTTATTGTCCTCAATATTAGATTTATAGATTCAATATCAATTAGCTTTGAAAAAAGCTATAAGCTGTAAGAATGATCATTAATCCATACATTGGGGTTTCTATATTCCACAAATCTATTAATAAACACTCAAACGTATCAAACCATCTCTCTGCTACTGGAAGAAAAAACCCTAATCTGTAATATATTTGATAAACCACTTTTTAAAAAATAATAAAGAATAAATAAATAAATCTATCTTTGTAAATCCCTAAGTATAACACTTTGAAATTCCAAAAATGTTGTTTAAGATACATATGAAAAGGAACTCTTATTTCCTTCCAAATTAAAACTTTGCAAATAAGTTTATTATAAAGATTAACCTGCTTCACAGGCCTAAATAACACAATTCAAGTAATAAAAGCATTTCATGAATTACCCCAAAAAGCAAGAATAAAGCAGCATTATCCTACCTCAAGACATTCACAAGTTTTAACAGAGCAATAGGCATGGTCATCTTTGAAGGCTAATTTGCTTTTGAAGAGTGTATAGACATGAAAACGTTAAATGATGCTGACATCTAGAAAGAAATTCAATGGTCAATAAGAAACAGCAATGAAAATGTGGTTGTAGCTTGTTCCTCTTTCTTAAATGTGTATGTTAGTGATCAAGTGCCTCAAAGAACACAGATTACTACTTTACTTTTGAGCTGCTGGCTGTTTTCCTTCATCCTTGAAACTAGGGTAACAAGGGTCCAGTTGACCTTGTAGCGGATGATAATCCTTGCAGCATTTTCCCCATAAAGTTCAAGTTGTTTTGTAAATAGTTTTCCAGTTGCCCTAGTTTTCCGACCCATTGACCTGAAAGCCATCTTGTATCTTCAGTTATCTCACAATTTCGTCTTACATATAAATAATAATAGTACTTATCTCATTGTGTGGCTGTGAGGATAAAATGAGTTAATTCACTTCAAATGTCTAGAATAGTGCTAGAAGCATGATAAAACAAAACCAAAAACAAACAAACGACAACAACAAAAAACTACCATGCTAGTTGCTCTTATCATTATTGCCCTCATTAAATATGAAAATTAAAAGATACACATATAATTAAGCAACATTCTTCTAAAATAACTTAATCTAAAATATTATCAAGGCAAAAATGTATGAATTAGCCTCTATCTCATCTTCCTTCTAATCTTAAAATAGATTACTATTTACATAGTATTTGTTTTCATTTTGGTTTCCAGGAAAGACTTTGAAATCAGAACAATCTGTTTTGAATCTTGTCATTTCTATTTACTAGTTATTTGACCCTAACAAAGTTAATCTTTCTAAGCTTCCCTTAATCCAGTTATAATATAAGAATAATACCCACTTCAAGGTGTTATTGGTAAAATTAAATGAAATAATTTGTGTAAACACCTAACACGTAACCTGGCCCATAGTAAGTGCTTAGTGACTATTTCTTTTCCATTGCTCTTCCTTGTTTTCGAATGTGATGATCTAAAAATATTGACTTTGATAAGAGTAAAGCCAATTTTAGCTCTGTGCCATAATTTTAATCTATTCTCAGTTGCTTTATAGTTAAGAATCAATTATTCTAATTTTTTTCTATTAGCTCAGAGAGAATTGAGCACAAAATTATGAGAATAAGAAGTAATTGTGGACTTTTAACTAAAGGTCTTTATTGAATACACACATGAAAAACTTATTCTAATCCTTTATAGAAAATTTGATAATAAAAAACTTATTGTTTCCCTGTGAAACCTGTCAATCGCTTTTACCTAGGTCAGGGAAATATCATCTATAATATAACTATAAACATTTATCTTTGTTCAGAAAATCATTCTTAGCTTTGTTTAACTCTATTTTTTATGTTGTCAAAGAAATAAATACTTATGCGAACATGACTGAGAAAGCTGGAAAAATATAAAGAACTAGAAAAAATATCAGTCATAATCTCATACTCAAAAAGAACCATTGTTTAAACATTTTATTCTATTTTTATGCAGAAAATCCATTTAATTTTCAAATATTTGAAACAACCTTTGCAAGATTATGACAATGAGAGAGCTCTAGCATGACTGACTCTATCTTGCTTCTAACCTCACAGGCTGGCTGTCCTCACTCATTCCTGGGTGTAGACTAGGCTAACCACAGGAGCAATTTAGTTTATAGCTTAACTTTAAAGCAAGGATGATAATAGCCCTTCCCAAAACAAACCACCTTTATAAAACTGATAAAACTAATGAAAGACGACAAGGTTAAGATTATGAGAAAGGCTTGAATTCTGCCAAGATACAGGCAAAACCGATAACCACCTATTGTTCTGAAGGTCACAAAATTTGTGACCAATTATTTCCTGTAGATAACATCACTATTTTAGAACCTAAGTTTGGCTTTTTGAGATTTTATGGACTTTTGCATTTCTGGAGACCAAATGATTCCACCTGGATCCTTGACTCAGCTGATTCTGTGGTCCCCACCCAGAGGCTGATTCAGTGTACAGGACTGTTTTCCACACCCCTATGATTTTATCCCTGAACAGTCAACATTTCCCACCCTCTGCCTACCAAACTATTCTTGAGCCATCCTAACCTTGGGGGCTTCAGGGAGATTGATTTGAGTGATAACTCCAATTATTTTGCATGGCCATCCTTGCATCAATTAAACTCTCTTTACTGCAAGACTGTGGCCTCAGTGAATTGGTTTTGTCTGTGCAGTGGGCAAGAAGAACCTGATGGGCAATTAAATATTCATAAACGTATCTCACATTAGAAAAACTATGAAAACCTCCACAAAGGTAAAGTTTTGGGCATGCGCTTGTACATGTAGCATGGGGCTGATCCAGGGAGATAAGCTCCATGTCTTGGAGGAGGGAGTGGAGCAGGCTCTTCCGGCGGCAGTGGCACCTGGAGTGCTCAGAGTTTGGGACAAGGAGAGCCAAGTAAATAAAATTACATGGAGGAACCCATCATGTCCTGGGGTTGAGGTCTACTAGGTTAGGGAAAGGTCGCCTATAGTCAAAGTTAGCCTTAAGCATGCCATAAATTGCCTGAAAGAGCAGAGAGGTCACACTAACATAAGAAGGACTGAGTAAAGAGCAGATTCTCACTTCCCATCTCCCTCATTTTCCTTCTCACACTACTGCCTAGAACCCAGTCTTTGAATGAAATGACAGATAGCCTCTCTGAACTACATACATTTAAATCATTCTCTTTCTCTAATTCCTTCCCCCCTCTTTTACATAGAGCGTAGAGTCAAATTCCAAGAAATTAAATATGCACACATAGCATCTTTGTTACCTGATACTTATTCTTCTTATACCTTTAACTGTGTCCAGTAAAAGCAGAAAATACACTACATTTAAAATTAAGGGAGACTCTATAGTTACATTATTATGCATTTGAATACACACACACACACACACACACACACACATATGTGTGTGTATATATATAAATTATAAACCAATCCTAGAAACTCCTCCTCCAATCTTTCCTTGGCAGACCATTTAGAAAAATATATTCAATGTTCCTCTATTTGTTGGGCTTCTTCTACTCTAAGGATTTCCACAGTTACTATGAGTTTATGGGATGGTGCTGAATTTTCTAAGCAATAAGATTTTTTCACCACCTTAGCAGAAGTAGGAGCCCAACAGAAGAGATGTCAAACATACTGAGAATTAAAGAGCTACAACTGGCCTTAAAATCTTATAAATTCTATAGTACCAATATGGATCTGGAAAGAGATGGAAGTACTCCTTCAGGGACTTAAAATTCTTTCTGAAACTCTCTTTCCCTGCTTTTCTAGTAAATGCAAGATACCTGTGGACCAGAGAGGTATTCTGAGTATGGACCACTTGTCTGGATGGTTCAGAAAGCAGCTTTTTATTAAATCTGGAACTATTTTGTAGTAAGATTCAAGCTAGGTAAGTATATAACAAGTCCAGAGTTTTATTTCATAAGGAATAAGGTTAAGGACATTAGTAATAGAAGAACACAAATTTAATTTAAAACTAAAGATGCTCCTTGGGAGAAATTTATCCCCATGGTGTTGAACTGTATTTGATTTCAGACAATGCACAAAAAAATCAGCCATGGCCTGAGTGAAAGCACAACACCGTATTTCTTCTGCCATCTCCTCCAACTCAGAGCTCATTCCTGGAGGGGGAAGAGGAGAAGTATGGACATCTGGAAAGCATTTAAGGTAGAAAATGCATTTGCAAGATCCAAGATTGCACTGAGGATGGATATTCACTATCCTGTGGGAAAGGGTGGTGCATCACAAGAAGAAGTCTGGGAAGGACTTCAGGGAGTAAAATTTTGGAGAGGGAGGAAACAAATAAGTTATAAAATGAGGACGGACACATGGCATAAGGAATCAGTTCTGGCCACTGTGGGGCTCAAAGGACTTTATTGGCTAAACCAGAGCCATGGCCCTCCTCCATCCAACTCTACAGGTTTATGGTTCCTGCTGAAATATTTTAGTTAAGAACAGCTTAAATCTCCCTGGAAGTTCAGTGTGTTATGATATAGAAAAGGAGTGGTAAAGTAGAATTTGGGACTGAGAAAGGATACTTTACCCTGATTTGTCCCTCTACCAAGACAAAAAGGGAAAGAAGGAGTGCAAGTTCCTGTTTCCTAGATCACAGAAGAAAGGAACAGAGGCCCAACTACAAACCTTGGTGAAGCATTGTGACATCAGAAACATCTCTCTGCCTTTATTTTCCTGATGACCTGTGGGTGACAGTGAGACGAACCAACAGCTATTAATTATTAAGCAGATGATCAGGTGATCCATAACTTAATTTTGAGAGAGGAAGAAGAGAGAGCTAAAGTACATGTAGCCCAAAAAATCATGTCTTGATAAATGGACTATGTATGTGACATAGGCAAAGTTTCCAGATACCAGGGACGAAGGTCAGATGCTGAAATGTAAATATCCCTCTAAAGGAAACAGTTTGGTGGAGAGCTTAAAGTGAAGGTCAGTGAAAGTTTGCCTTCCCAATTGTAACTCCTATGGCAAAAGAGAATGTGCGTTGATTCTTATGAGAAGTATATTATTATTTCAGGCATAGAAAGTAAAAGATTGTATTTCTGCTGACTCGAGCTAATGAGTTAATTTAATGTTAGTTTGCATATTAGAAGTTTTAGCAAGATAAGTTTTAGGCAGAGACGTCTGCTGTTGCATGGGAGGAAATACTTCACAGCAAAGTTCTATCAGCAAGCTCCTTATATAGAGCCAAAGCAATTTCTGTTTGCATATGTGTATCTATGTGCCAACTGTTCTTGGGAAAATGGCCACTTGTTATTCTTTTTTTAGCAAACCCTCAGTTCTTTTAAGATACACTTGAGACAATTAAGTAATAAGTCTAAGATGTAGAATGCTTTTTGTTCCATTAGGTGATGATTTCTAGCTGCACTGCTGCTCTCTAATGGGTACCAAAAGGACTCATTTTGAATTCTGATTGAGTTTGGTTTTTAATATTGGTGTGAGTCAAATCATCAAAGCCAGCTGCCTCTGAACATCGACTGGGATGTTGACTGGACAGGGCAACATATTCTGTCAATTACAGGAAGTATCTCAAGTTTCCATCTACAGAATGTAAACATCTATTAAAAATGTTGCTCTGACCTAAAAAGGCAAATTCACTATGAAGAATCAGATACTTCAACTCATTTGTTGAAAGCTGTTGGACCTTTAGTCACATTCATCTCGTGGTTTTCAGAAAACAAATTGCAAGATGGATGTTACATTTTTACACCTAAGAGACTACTTTGATGAACTTCTAAAAATCAACACTCTAGCACAGTAGAAGGCAGTGACTGTTGATGATAAAGATCGGAAGCCTCACTGTAATTACAGCCCAAATCTGGCACTAAATATGTGTCGATTTTTACTACATACAGACGTCCTTGGCTCTTTGGACTGACAAAATGGAGGAAAAATGAGGTAGGCCCTGGTGTATCTAAAAGCAATATTTATATTGGTGTTTGCTTGTTTGTTTTCTTATGCCTGTCGTGAGGGCCTTCATTATCTTATGTAGTTTTTTTGTGCAAATCACAAAAGATATCCCTTCTGAGTGGACAAATTATAAAAAGATTACCTCTTTATTGGCACTCCTGGTTGACATTTCTTCTCTGATCTTTGACATGGCTTTTCCAAGCTGGCTCTGCTGAGGTATTTATTCCTGCTCCTTGGAGTCAGCTGTGTTTTCTGAGGAAACCAATCTCAGTGAATTTGAATAACTTGCTCAAGGACACGCCTTTATAGATGGTGTCCAACGAAGTGAACAATAAACATGTTTCATCTCAGTCTGTGCTAGGCAACGCTGCCTTTTAGCAAGGTGATACATGGATTTAGGGCAGTTTGATGACTATACTTGAGATGACTGGAACATTAATATTCACTCTCATTAATGTCACAAAAAATACCATCTTTTGTGACATTAAATGGATTTTTTCCTGGGATTTCACGGAAAATTTAAATTCAGGTACAGTAAACTAAATATAATAAATAAATAATAAATTAAATAATACACTAAATAACAGATTAATTTAAATTCAGGTTCAGTAAACTTTTATTGAGTCCTAAATGTGTAAGTGCTAATTAATAGGGGAAATAAAAAGGCAACCCAGCTAGACAAGATCTCTTCATCAAACAAGACCTATTTGTTTGGTGCAGAGAGCAGAGACAGACAAAGACGACTCAGTCCCTTAATGGCAGATTTTATTTGCCAAAAATTGCCACAACCATATCTGTTGCAACCATATCTTCTTTTGCACATGCTCTTCTACAATGTGAGCAGGCATCAAGAGGTAGGATCTGATCCCTTCTCCTTGAATCTGGGTGCTCCTTGGAACTCTTTGACCAGCAGAATACAGCAGAAGTGATGCTCTGTGATTTCTGAGGCTGAGTTGTAAAGAGCTAAGGAGCTTTTACTTTTTCTTTCCTGGGACCCTATCACTTGGAACCATGAGTCAGCCGGTTAGAGATGCAGCACTAACTGTGGTGGGCATGTAATGCGGAAATCAAACCACATGGAGAGACCTTCTGTAGTTGCTCTTGTTGACAGTTATAGTCTTGAAGTCATCCTAACTCAGGTACTAACATGTTGAGAGAATGAACCTCTAGGTGATTTCAGTCCTCAGCCATCCCGAGAACCTAGCCTTCAATTCTTCATAGCCCCAGATATATATGGAGCAAAAATAAGCTATCCCCACTGTGCCCTGCCCCATTCCCACAGGATCCATAAGCATTAAAAAATTGTTAATCTATACCATTAAATTTGGGATTAATTTGTTCTACAGCAATAGTAACAGAAGCGTTATTCTCCTGAGATAAGTCTGAAGTTGTGTGCAGCAGGAGGAATACTGGCAGGGGTCTGAAAACAGATGTACATCTTTTTTTTTTCCTTTAGTTTTATGTAGCACTTTTTGTAAAGGGGGAACAAAAAGATCTTGGAAGACAAATAAGCCAATCTACCTAAAGGTCATATTTCCCAGGTGGTTTCTTACTTTGGAAATACTATAATGGTATTTTCTCAAATTGAACAGAAATATACATAAAATGTTCTAACGGAAAGAGCACAATATGTTTCAGGACAAATGAACATTAAAAAAAAATTCCCAAGACACTGTCTCCTTGATGTTGTTTCAAACACTAACAGGAGATGAGGAAGTGCTGTTATTACTTTCATTATATATTATTTGGTGCCTGAGTTATATTTTATTCAGGAGACAAAAAGAAATCCTCTATTTCTGCCCTGATGGTGTGCAATTTAAATCAGAGAGACATCATAAGTGTTTCTGACAGAACACAGTGTTCTGGTTTTTTTATGCTAATTTGAAAGTTTTCAAACAACCTAATCACCACAATGTAAAGATATCAAGTGAAATGGGAAGCAATGAGAGAACACTTTCCAGAGTTTCAAGTCTTTATTTCAACAGGATAACTCTATTTTCAATTCTTCATAAAAGAAGCCAATTGTATCCACCATAATAGTTGTAAGAATTACGAGATGTTGAGTTCAGTGATGTGCAGAGAATAGTTTAAATGAATCTTAAAAAAACAAACAGAACCCACTTTAGAATTTGGCTGTAAATATGTTAGGGAAAAAAAAAGAACATAATAAAATCTACTAATTAGTTTCAAGGCCAATCTGAATTTGTAATAAGTCTGAATCAAACATTATGATAAGGAAATGTGGTTTTATTACTTTACAATAAAATAAAATAACTTCTGCAGTTTGAAAGCTGTGCAAGTTCTCTAAGACTTTTTTTTTTTTTTTTTTTTTACTAAATGGGTAAGTTATAACTTGCATCATTGATCAACTGACCTCTCCTGCATCTGCTGAGAACTTGCATTTGCATAGAACTCAACAAACATGTCACAAATAACGACTGCATGTCCAGTTAATTGTCTAGGGTGTGTGGAGAATTCTAGAGAAAACAAACACATCATTCTTGTCTCCAAGAGCTTAAATTCTGTTTGGCAATTTATTTATAAGACACAACTAGCTAAAAATGCAAAATGGTTTCTAATTCTAGTTTGTGTTGTAGGAATTCTGAGAGAAGTCAGATTGAAGGAATTACTAAAGATTTCCTGGACAACACGAGCAGAAATTAGTTAGATTTCTGAGACTATAGAACTCTATTTGGACCACAAGACAGAAAATTCTTACTTAATTTACCTTCTATATTTTAACAGCTTGAAGAAAAAGTATCTTTCCAGGTATACAAAAGGTAAAGCTTGGTCCTGACTAGCATTTAGATACCAGATGATTTAATTTAAGCCACATAAATTAATGAGATTTTTAAAAAATCAGCTTTTAAAATAATCAGACATACACACATATTCTATACAATATGAATGGTTAAAGTATCAATAATAAGTACCATCAGTCATTGACAATGGGGTTGGCTTACATTAATAGTTAATTTGACTATCTCTGGGACATGATACAAGAGAAAAATAGCAGCTTTAGACTCAAAAGACATGAATTTGCATCTAGATGCTTCTTTCTACCAGTTTTGTGGCTGAAAAAGTCATTTAAATATTTGTAACTCAATCCGAGCTAATAATGGATCTCAATCACATAGGACAAAAGAGAAATGTATTTTTTGACCCTACAGTAAAATAAAATGACTTTAGTCATCAGAAAATGATCTTTCAAATGGAATATCAATGACCTCTAAATCAAAGTTTTCTCATCTGTAAAACAGACCTGATAAAACTCACCTCATACAATTTTTTGTGATGTTTAAAAAAATTGAAATCAATAAAAGAATGTTAAGGAGAAATTTGATAACATAAAATAGGACATTATTATGAGCCTTTAATTTTGTTTTCTAGAGGCACCAAGAAAAAGAAAAAAAAAACAATCTTATTCTGGAAATAAGGATTCTATTCTGGAAATAGTATCAAACCACTAGAGATTTATTGATTATCTGGTATTTCATTACTACCTTTTTTCTGATTTAGAGAGCTCTATAAGAATAATAGCATATCTTAATGAATGACACTAAAATAATTTAACAATTTTGAGCAGTTGACTTAAAATGGGTTTTAAGTCAGAATAAAGTGTACCTTAATTGTCTGATTATGTAACTTTATTTGGCCATCTAATTTATAGGATTTCTTTTCTAAAAGAGTTTAGTTTCCATACTGGTTGCCAGTGTGTATGTGAGGTAGAAAAAAAGTAAAACTTAATGCATAAGGTAAAAGTCAGTCACTTTTTTTGGAGCCTTTATAAAAGTTAAGCGACTGAGTTTTCTTCAGGGCTCCCAAGCCCACTGGGTTAAATAGTTTACTTTGGCCTATATTATTATAATTGGCTTGTAATTCCCTCTGAACTTCCTTTTCTTCCCTCTGTGATTCCCGAGAGGGGACATAACACACTCTGGAGGTTGTTTTGTTTTTCCAACTTGCCGTGCAGCCAACTCTGTGCAAAAGCAAAGGAACTGTTGTTACACGAACCTGGT